AACAAAAAAAAACCGAAATAAAAACCGTAAAAAACCGAACCGAATAACCAACGGTTTTCATATTTTTTATGCAAAACCGAACCGAACCGAACCACCAATTTACCTTCCGTTTTGTCTTTGGTTTTGGGTAAAAACCGAACCGCCAAAACCGAACTCACCCCTATTAGGGACGGAGGGAGTAGTAATTATAGTGGTTGAAGCCACATGATATGATCAACTACGTATAGTATTTGTACGAATTAATCATCAACATCTAATAAAACAATAAGTACTCTCTCCCTTTCTAAATATTTATCCACTTTATTCACGAGGCAAAATATCAAGTTTTTTCAATTGATTTTATTTACATATTGGTATAGAAATAAAAAATAAAATTTATATATCAAAAAACTACATGAAAAATTCTTCAAAATAAGAGGTGTCAATAATATTTTATTTTATCAAATAACCAATGAAAATGTAGAAATATACAAACGTTAATGGACTTTAAGATTTTTAAAATATCTGATATCTAACATTTTCTTAATAATAATATACTCCGTAATATCCTTAACACCTTAAGCCACTTCAAAAGCTCTTCTAGATCCAGTAGTTAAATTCCTTAGTAAAAAATGGAAAAAATAAAAAGAAAAGAAGAAAGAAGGCCACATGGGGTTCCTCAAGCAAAAACTATCGAGAATAATCTTAATTTTATTCTATCGTTAGAAAATAATTTCATCTTTATTGAAATGTGTGAATTTTGGATTGTCATTATGTAGCTATCAACAAGTTAATAGAAATGACATATTTTGTGCAACAAATTGAAAGTTAAATTGTGTCAATTTTTTAGAGACGGATCGAGCATAAGACGTTAATATATACTTCCTCCGTCCTAAAACTTTCTTCCCAGAGCATTATTCTAACTTCACGGGAATTTATATTTATTTGTGTTTTTTCATAGCCTATATGATAAAATAAAATATTCTTGTCACCACTTGTTTTGTTGAACTTTTGATGTAGTTTTTAAATATGCATGTTTTATTTTTTATTTCTATACCAATATTTAAATAAAATAGATTGAAAAAACTTGAGATTTTTCTTCGTTTTGCGCAATGGAAAGAAAGTTTTAGGACGGAGAGTATATATGTGTGTGTGTGTATGGTCAAATGCATACGAATATACGATCCTAAGCTATAAAGACGTTCAGACGCGGAGGTAGGCCAGCAAAGAATATTATATATTCGCAGTTTCACACTACAGAGTTAGAGCTGATCTGAGGAACATTTGGTTAGAGGAACATTTATAATACCCGACTATGGTTTTATTTTAATTTCTCAAAATAGTCATTTCTACAAATTAAAGATCTCAATTGTAAAATACCATGTATGTTTTTATTATTACTTATTATTGATGACTAATTTGAAAAACATCATATCATACAGGATTATTTTGAGAATTTACTCTTTCTTTTACATAGTTTTTCCTATCTGATACGAATATTGTATCAGATCTGCAATAATTTTTTTTTGGGTTTTTTTGGGTGTTCAAATCAATGAAATCACCAATTGATACGAATATCGTATCAGATAGAAGAACTTCGAGCGTCTTTGTGCTCCAAGAAACGAGAGACAAAGAGAAAAGGAAAACTTCGAGCGTTTTCGGGCTCCAAAAAAGAGACGAGAGATTAAGAGAATTCTTGATTATTGATTGATTGAATGATAATGATACGGAATTACAATATATAGAGATGAGACGCCACACCTACATGACCTAATGGGCTCGGGCCCATACAAAAACCCTAATCTATAAAATACTGATAAATAATACTACGGGGTATTCCGTAATAACTAGCTACTAAATACTATAACTAATTAAAATATTCTAATTAATTATCCGTATCAGTATTGTATGTCTATATTTATTCATTCAAGCCATAATATGGTCTCAATGCAAGATTTTTCCAAAAATTATTGAATACTCCGTAGTATAAAGTCAGAAAGTAGCAATTTGTACCATATATTCTCTTCTAAAAAAACACGGAGTAGAAAAATATAATTAAATGAGAGTAGAAGGAAAGAAAAAAATTTGGAAAACTTGTTTGTTACATATGGAATAATTGAAGAACAATAGTATATATGGTTCATTTATACTTGCTTTTATTGTTTATTTATTTAATTAATCACTCCGAATTTATTTACGGAGTATTTATTATTATTATTATTATTATTATGAGTTTATGATTGATTGGATTAATGTTTATTTTATTCTTTCTCGAATGATGGGTGGGTTGACTTGGTCGCATTATTCTGATTTTTTATTTTATTATAGTCTGTATTATTATTGGCGCCATTCAAAATTTCCAAGATAGTGTCGGCTTCTTTCACACTACCCTGTTTGTGTAATTCATACTTTTCCGGGTGATGGGATTTTGTTTTATTCTCCATTCTTCGTGAGACTTGTCATATATCATTAGGAAACTTCCTAGCTAATTTCCCTTCCAAAGAGCATTAATTTCAGTCAATTTTAATATTTTGAAAATGTTATTTTTTTTTATATTTTCAAAGTTAATCCGTATTATTAAAACAATGTCTAAGTTACCAAAGAAAGCCAGTATCTTTTCTATGAAAATATTAAGCTCAATTTGGTAACAAAAATCTCACTTGTTTGTTTTGCACAAAAGTAGAATAAACAGCGTTTGAGAAAGTTACTTGTTAACTTGAATTTTACCAAATAGTTTTTTATACTTCCAATAAAAGAATGTAGTAGATTCTATCTAATTTCTCTTACCCAAATGAGCACATAAAACATACTTCATTGGTCACCTAGTGAAGTTTATACTTTCTTTTTATGTTCGTCCTGGAAAATTTTTTACAATTCTCTTATTTTCTCTTTAAGAAATGAAGGTGGGTCTCAAAGCACTTGTTTTAAGCAATTTCTAACTATGGTAAATGTATCTGACTTTTTTTTAAGGAAAAATCTAGAAGTACTCCAAGTTAATGTACACCAACTTCTCACAAACATCGACTATGAGTGTCTGTGAGAAGCTGGTGTACACGTGCGATAAACCAACTTAAGATACCCCTAGTAAACCCCTTTTTATTGCTAAATAATGAGCAAATGTTGCCCCTTAGACACAGCTCAACTTGCAATTTCTAAGAACTTGCATGGTTTAGACCATGTTCTCAAATTTATTTTTTTAAATCTTTTACTTATTCTTGTTAAAATCAGATCTGATCAGATCAAATAAAAAACAACTTTAAATATAATTATATTCAGATCAAAATTTATTCAAATCAAATCAGAAAATATTCAGATCAAGTGAAAAGAACATGACATTAGACATGCAAAGTAGAGAATTCAAATTCTAGCACAAATGATGGATTTGGCTCCCTCATTGGCGAAATCCCTTTACAAGAGAAAACCCCCTAAATAGGAGTAAAAATTAAATCATATCCACAAAATAGGATTTCAAACTTAAACTCTTCTAAATAGAAGTAATTAATTAAATTTATGTTTTAATTAACTCTCCTGGCGGCACAAACCAAGTTGGGCAATGATTTGTGTCAAAAAATGTAATATATCATGGTGTAAGGTTGGACTCCCAATACTCATCAAACAAAACTAATGCAAATAGTAGAGTTACTTGACATTTATCCTTTTTTGACATTATGCATTAACATCTGTGATATGTAACATTATACATTGACATATGTTTCATTTTACATTATCAGGAATGATATTATACAATGTCAAGGTTGGCATTATCTATTTAATTTGTTTAGAATTATGCGAGAACTCGCATGTATGACTTTATACATTTGCATGATTACCATTATATGATTACATGTGACATTTAATGTGATTTTTTTGACACTGTATGGATATTTTAATATAACAATTTACTAAGTTTCTATATGTAAGGTATCGATTCATTTTTGTTGATGAAGTTTTGGGTGTGTTTTGTTATTGAATTAATTTTCTTTACATTCAAATTTGTTATTTTTTGTCGATTCAGTTTTGTTAATGATTCAATAACAATTTACTAGAAATCAAGATGACTGAACGAGAATTCTTGCCAACAACACGCAGCATGGAAAGTTTTTCTTTAATAATCATATGATTGATTTGGGCGACAGTTTGTGGAACTACTTGGTAAAGCAAGATCAATGTTCACATGGTCATTATGTTACAACATTATATTCTTATGGAAGAGTTGAAGTGACACTAGAGTGTTCTAAGCAAATGATGAGGCGTTAAAATAAATTAAATTACATTCTTGACATTGTGAATTTTTTCGAACTTCTAGAGTTGTGGGAAGTTGAAACTTAGAGGCTTGGAGTGTATGGGTGTATAAAAGAGTATGAAAAATTATAATTTTAAAAAATAATTAAATAAAGAGGAAATTGTATAGAAGAGGGGCAGTGGAGGTCCTAATTGGAAACAAAGGATTTGAAAATTGATGCATGTGGCGGTTTAGAACAGTGCACCAAACTCAAGGATTGAAAAGTTAGCACATGTATGAATAAGAGTTTTGGAATTTAGTCATTGTTTAGTTTTGGGAGATGCATGAGGCATTGTTTTTGGAGTTAAATTATAGTCATTGTTAAGTTAATTACTCCTATTTAGGAGAGTTTATGTTTCAATTCTTATTTTGAGATATGACATCTCTTCTACTCCTACTTTGGTCCATCTCCCAATTTACAATCTCTTAGACCCTAGTAGACATCCCCCGATTCACCTCAACAGTCAACATCTCAATGGCACGGGCGTAGGGTACCCTTGAGGTGGGTACTTTTTTTAATTAAAAAGAGAGTTGTTAGTACTAATAACACCAAGTTATTAGAGACACCTTATCATATTCCATGCCATCAAATTATTTTAAAAAGACTATGAAAATCGTTTGTTAAAAAAAGAATAAAAAAGATCTATTTGAAAACTAATGCCATGTATGTTACCCATGTAGGATGTTTGTTATAGCTTGTGACTAAACACTCTTTGTTTTTTTTTTCCATTAATCACAACCAAATGAGAAATTTTCATTCATGTATAGATGGGAACAAAATGTTAACCCTGACCTCAGCCTTGCCTTGACNAGGATATATAGCCCATGTCCTTATAAGAATGGGCAAAAATTTTAATCACAGGGATATATATTTTTTTTTGAAAAGCATAGGGAATATACTTGACAACAAAAAGAACAAGAAAATATGAGTCACCTTATGCTTCATTCAATAAGGAAAGGTACCGGTCATCCCAATATGTTCAAGTGTGCCCTGCAACCCGTACTTAAGAACAGCCATCTTGCCCGCTCTGTACCCATTTCCATAAACGGGCGAGGTGTCAGATTCGATCTGGTGTTTGAAGAAATCCCCGAGTTTCCTTTCATACCCGCCGTAGTTTGATGACGAATTCGACCCACTATTGTTGCGACATGAGAGGGACTCAATCTGAGACTCCAACCACATGTGTGCCATCACTTGACAAATCCCTTCTTCAACATCTTGGCTCAGAGTTCTATAACCTTTCCCAATCAAAGAACAAATAGTAATATTAAGACCATGTTTGGCTGTATTATAATCAGCAAAAGAAACAGGACTATGTAGCCTTTGATTTACTCATTTTGTTTGCATCATTTGGCTCATCAGAACAATGCTTTTATTTTCAGAAGTTTCAATATATTCGGATCAATCATTTCACTAAAATAAACATGCCAAACCGGCCCTTAACTGCTAAATTTTCGAGCCAATCCCAAACTTGAAAAGTGTGTAGTTTTGGAGCATCGTGTTAGAGAATAATTACCTCTGAGTCGAAGCCAAGCGTGCATCATCTCATGTGCAAGGATTGATCCCGTCAAAAGCCTAAGCAAAGAGAAGCATTCCTTATAGGTCAATTTATCTTATTTTGTGATTCATCAACCTAATGGTAGGAACTGAATGTGATGCAGGGGAAAAGAAAAGAAAAAACACTACCTAGGAAGACCATACAAAATAAGAATTGCAGTCACATCACAGTGCCGTGTCAATCTATATGGTTCTGCTCGCATGTCAATGGCTGGATTTCCAGACTGAAAATCCTAAAAGCAATTAGTGCTTATGTTTTACTGTGTAATATAATAAGCTGACTGAAACTTTGAAAATAAGCTTACAGTGCTGACTGTTTGTTCTTCAGAAAGGCAGAGTCCTCTGGTCTCAGGTACATGATGATGCCCCTGAAAGAACTCGAAAAAAAAGTTCTTGTTATGTTCACATTGTATGCAAATGACATATACGACTTGATGCATTTAAGGAACCAAGAAAATGAAATGAAACTTTTGATCCTTGTTACATATTTCTCAACATCCATGGCTTCGTTCAATGCTTGCCGCTCAACCAATAGCAAAGGAACCTTCTGCTCTACTCTCATGTTCAGACCTTCATAGAATTCTTGTATATCAATATAAAGTGGCTGACACTCATTGGAATCCATAATGGCCGAGTCCAAACACTCCATACAAAGCTTCCGACCATCATCAAGCATGGCTGATTTTGTTTCTCGTGCCTGGCACCCAATAAGAACTCGTTTAATAAGGATTATATAAAACAGAGACTGTTTGTGTTAGACCCCTGATGCATTGCCGCATCTACTGCCCCAAAATTCATAGAATGTACTCCGTAAGAAGCAAGGGAAGTTCAATGTGTCATTTTGAGATATATAGTTCATTATTTTCAAATCTAGAAGGTAATTATTGTGTAGCATATACTGTCTACTTTATGAAAGTAAAAGTGTACTGTAACATCCATTTCAGAGAAATAAGTTAACCAGAAGCTGCTTATTCTGTTGATAAGTAGAATAATGAGCATAGAGTGTTAAAATTCACCTCCATTCGTTCACAGCTACAGCAGCGTGGTGTTCCATCATGCTCATGAAAAGGGCAGTACTTCTGAGACCAAAAAGGATGTGCACGATATTCAATAAGGCCTGCTGCATTTGTAGGAATCTGGAGAAAATATATTACATTGTTATTATGCTCATAATAAAGTAAACTCCGTAAACGAAAGAACATATTCACCTGTTGTGAAGAGTATCAAAAGGGACAAGGTCTTAATAACGCAGGACTCGAGCAGTCGAGCCATAAGGGAATAGTATGGTTTAATAAAACTTGGGTTTTTACAGGTACGGATGTGCATTAAACAAGTTTTGTGTCTGATTATATCAATTGCTTGGTGATATCAAGAAACTCCGATTTGGTTCTATGTTGTTTTTCAACTAAGAAAGGTGAACCTTAGAAGCATTATAATTGTTTACTAACACAAAAGTGAAAAGAGAACAAATGGTGAACATGATTATTGGATATTTACTTACAAAGTGTTTGCAAACATCACACTGCGGATGATAGTGCACCTTGTAGCATGCCCTGTGATATGGATGATTTCCTGACATAGAAAACTACCAATATAGATATAGAAAAGTAACTAAGTCAGAAAGAAGGACAGCTTATTGACCTCTAATGACGAATACTAATCAACTATAATCTTATAGTAGACATCAATACTCCTATATTTTTTTGCAAATACTTCAATTATGCACTTGAAAGCCAATTCCATTTTCATATCCAAATCAAGTGTCAACTTTTCATCGCTCATTACTTCTACAATCCTTCCTTTGTATAAACACAATTGCTCAGACATGCAGACTCGTATAAATATATACGTGGAAATTTAAGGCAGACCTCAAGTGTAAATTGTGACGGGCTCAAACTAAGTTCAAAGAGCCCATCTTTCTTTGTCGGCAAATTCAAGTAATAATGCAATAAATGAGAAGCTTTTCATGGTATACACAAACAACAATAAGAATACCAGTATGGCAATGGACAATAAACAAGAAGAGTTTATCAAGATATTAATAGATAAAAGAAAACCGTATATCCTCAGATTAAGCATTGTGTACAAATGGAATACCTCATAATCAGATATTGGTTGGCTGCAGGCATGGCATCTAAAACACTCTGGGTGCCAATATGTACCCATGCAATTCAAGAATCGTCCATGACCAATCCCATTGTTACAACCAGCACACATTAAACTAAATGAAAATATAATTATTAACTACAACATTTAAAAAATCAGCAAAAGCAAAAAGTGATGAGCTAGTTCATAGTCTACGGCTTATCTCTCGTTCAAAAGAAATGAAATGCAAATGTGAAATTAACTAAAGGTTGCATCGGCTAAGTGGTGACAAACTGGCAACCAAGAAAAAAACATGTTTACCAACACAAATGGAAACAGTCTGGAAATTGATGGAGGTTCCATTGGATTTGGGACACTTATGGTTTTTAAATGGAAGTTATTAGTCATGATGAGGGACAAAAAGGGTAAGTAACAAGATTTAACAAACCCATAATGTGTTGCATAAGGTAAAGGCGGGTAGTAGTTCCCATGACCATGGTTATGTCCATATCCCTGCCAGCCAGAATTTGGGTTTCCCTGCCAAGGCGGAGATTCGATGTTCAAGCTATCCTGTAGAACTCTAGCAAGTTGTTCATCTTCATTTAAATTTGATTCACTACCTGCCACAAAAAACGTTCCATAAAAAACATTTGATTCTAGTATTCAGGAAACTTTGTGTTGAAATGGTATACTACGTATTTTCAATCACATGTAGGTAACCAATGAAATTATGTTAACAAAATAGATAACCATCAGGAAAAAGTACTCACCAATTACATTTTTTCCTCTGTGGTCCTCCTCTGATAAGGACAATGCAATGCCACTGCCTACATCTTCAGCATCTGACCATGAGTCCTGCAATAAATATTATGAGCCATGAATAAAATATTTCATAGAGGAGAAACAAATGATTAAGTGTACTTAAGTATACAATGCCAAGAGCACAAAATCAAAGAACATTTCGGATACATTTAAAATATCCAAATGTGAAACTCTGAAGGAGGATAGTTGCTTCCGGGAGTAGTAGGTAATCATTATTGTTATTTGGCATTTTCAATTCAGTTTTTTAGCCTGAGCAAAAAGGTACAAACTGAAAAGCCTGAATAACAAAGTCAATTCCATAAGTGAAATTTGGATTACTGCACGCAAATGACCGTCCGCATATGACCAACCACATCTTCATTCAAAGGTTCTATATATTATAAAGAACATAAAAAGCTCACCAACATAATAGTTCTACACCTTAGATAACAAGGCACATTCGTCGGATTTATAGTGAGAAACAGTTGAGAACTCACAAATACTAACCAGTGAAGTAGATGGATGGTTCTCATCTCTGTACCCTTCGCAAGTCCAATCACATTGCCCTTTTGAAATCTTGTGTTTGGAGCCTCCAAATATTTTTTTCAGCCAACCCATTACAGGAAGTATACTATCAATCTCTCATAGTCAATGCAGCCCTACCCTACCTAACCTACAGAAAAACAATGGAGCAATGAGGCCTTATCAGCATCAAAAACAACACAAGCTTTCAGAAAAACTAATCATATAGCATTGAACATGATAAAAACACCAGCCACAAGCAAGTCTATATGAATGTGATGCTACCTTATTCATCAATCATCGCCGAATAGTCCAGCCGGTGACTTGAATTTCCGGCCAAATTTGGTAATTAGATAAATCAAAAGCAAATATCGACTAATATCCTACCTCCACTCACTTTCAACCTCGGAGAAATCGCGCCTTCAGCAACCCTCGGAGACTCCACCTGAGGTACGGTCGACCAGATACGACTTCAAAAGGCCTCGGACACTGCCGGGAGACGCCGAGCTCAGGCGGTGCGAGCTGCTAGAAGAGGAAGGTGCGGAGGCTGGAAGTTGGAGTGGAGGTTCACGGCCGCGGCGAGTATGCTGAACAGTGCGTGAATGTAGCTCAGCTGAGTCAGATGCAGACCAGACGGCGGAGTAGGGGCGTCGGAGCGGTGGCGGAGAAGGAATCTGTAGATGTGAATCCGGTGGCGATGGATTAAAAGCGAGTTGATGGGCTCTCTTTTTTTTTCCTCCTTTTTTCAACTTTTGGTTATTGGAGAAGAAAGAAGAGGGAGCCAAAGGGGAGGTGATATATAATAATACGAGTAATAATTACTGTAATTAATTACGGATAAAAGGAAAAAAATTAAATAAAAAAAAAAACAAAGTCGTGTATGCTTGTCTTTTCCAAATTTCCGTTTTTCTTCGTCTTTTTCTGCACCGATTACTACTATAGTTTCCAACGCCGGACGGATCCAAAACCGGTGAACCGGTCGCCGCTCTTATTAACGTTTCCGGCTTGAACAGTTGAAGTAATCTTTTTTAGGGTGAAAAAGATTTAAGGCCTGCCTTTCGAGAGCTCTAATACCACATGTTGGAACTACAGATACCTTCAGACAACTTACATTAGTATGAAATTGTTGGCTTTGAGTAAAATCGGCACGAATTTGTTTTATGAGGATATTTCAAAAAGATTCATACTAGTGAGTTTGGTTGAACTGAAGCTTTAAATATTTTTATTCTTCTTTTCAAATCATTTCAGTGTGGACTAATGTTTACTCTCAACAGACCAGAGTATGAGAAGATTAAGATAAATACTATGAAAAAATCCATTCTAAAAATTGTAATCTTTTGATTTTTATTTTTTTTATATTGTTCATTTTTCGTAATTGATCTTTTTTGTTGTATATTTGTACAAAAATTACTCCATATTATTTATGTCAGTAATTGTTGCATTTGTGTTGATGTAAACTTTGATATAATGGTTTGAATTTTAGGAATTTTACTAAAAAAAAATAAAATTTTAAGTGAGGCGAATTTGGAATGTAAAAAGGTAGTCTGTATTTCTTTAAAATTTGCACCATTTTAAATGACGCGAAGGAATGGTTTCAAAGTTAGACTATTGGAGGAAAGATTGTATTTCACCATCTTGTGAATGAATTTTGTAAACTTCACATATTTTAAACCAAAAATTGATATGAATGAATGTAATTTTAAAGCTAAAATATGTCATTAAAAAAGTACTTCCAAGTAGAATTATTCTTCGTACAGTACTATAGATTAAAAATAAAGTCAAATTTAAGGTACATTTAGTACTTTTTGGAAGTACGTTTGTGTACACATTTGAACTTTTGTTTCATTAAAATATAATTTTAAGTGTTTGGTAATCTACTATAGTTTACGCATTATGACGTATGGAGTTTAAATATAGCTCTATAAGTGTTTTTATCGAAGTAGTCGTGATTGTTTTTTTTCTTTTGACTTAATCTTTTATATTTTCAAGAACTCGCCACACCTTCAAAACTCTCTAAAAATAATTCAAAATGCTAACCTTTATTACTTTACACTAAAAAAAGTAATATGTATCTAGAAAAATTTTACAATTTGGCATTACAAAGTTTAAGAAACATTTTAAAAAATGAAAGATGTAGATGAAAAGTAAAAAATGTATGCTGAAATTTAATTCAAAGTAGCAATCGTGAGACCATTTCCAATCGTTACACTAAACACAAACTCAAAATGCAGTATAAATTCAAAATACAGTAAGATCATCTCTAATCATTTACACTAAACTCAAACCAAAAAAATGTTCTTCACTAACTTTTTATACTTTTCAATCGTACCTATATATTTTCTTAAATTACACATAACCCCACAACACATAACTTGATGAATAAAATAATGATTTTAACCCCAATAATTTTCTCAACAATGTACGCCTCTATCATCCTGACTTGTGTCTTCTTCCTCCCATGGCTAGTCTTGTTCATGACATTTCTCAAGAGCCTCAAACATCTCTATCCTCCTACTTTCTAATTACAAACAACATGGGGACTTAAGTGTAATATTTTATATGTTGAAAAGAGTGTTTGCGTATGCTACATAAGAAAAACATATATGCGTAATTATTGTTAAGAAATGCAGAAAAAGATACTCGATAGAATTTAAGATAGAATAAAGGTCACTGAATTAGATCATAAGATATTTGGAATTATTCACATCTAGTGCAATCGATTACTTGGTTTAATTCAAAAGCTTATATACTAATTACTATTCTCTTCAAATTTTGATGTGGTATAGACTCTAACACTCCGATGAGAGCTCTCAAGTAGACAACCATACCATTTTGAATCTAACTAACTATCCACTTACAAATGAATTACCATCTCTTGATTCTTTTGAACTCCAACACCTAATTGATCATGAGTCACTAAATATGGACTTCGAGACGAACAATCGAGTTAAAGAGCCACGAGTCGTTGGATTTACATTCATGGACAACTGGGATAAAGACTGGAGTAACTAAGAACGAACAACATATTCATATATTACACTTTCATAACTTTTCTAACACATTGCCAACACATACTCTTATGACACATTGTCATTATACTCTTATTTTGGTCTTAAAATACTTAGAAATTTCTATTTTGATATTTTTCATACTTTTATACTTCTATCTAAGGAGATTTCTTTAAATTATGCTCCCTTTGTTCGTAAATGGTCTTCCTATGCTGACTTGATACACTTATTTAGAAGTAAGAAAAAAGTACCAGACTTCAAGAATGCTCATACTTTAAACCTGTATAACTATTTTTCTTATTCAAAAAGCAAGAAAAAGTAAATGGATGGTAGAGTGGAAGAGTGTAATTGACATTACGTTTAAAAAGTAGACTAAAAAATAACAAGACTATTTCTAGATAGACTAAAAAAAGTGAGAAAAAAATTTCAGGACAAAGGAATTATCAAATAGTATCTGGTGTACCTTTGAGGAATTTATTGCACCAATACACCTTGTGATTTGATAAATGTGCACTGTTACCCTCAATGGTTTCAAAATTTACGTTTTGCCCCTCAGACTAAACACATAGAGATTAGACATAACTTCATACGAGATCATGTCCAAAAGAGAGATGTCACAATTGAGTTTGTTGAAACGAAACATCAATTAGCGGACATTTTCACAAAACTCCTTAGTAGGGAGAGTTTCTTCCACATTCGAAACGAGCTTGGTATTTTGGATATTTCTATGAACTAATTTATTCTTTTATTTTATTTTACTAACTTGAGCGCCGGAGGCGCAATAAGTCTTTTTTGTAGGGTCTTTTTACAGGTATTTCATCCCTTGGTATAATCTTCATGATTGAAATTGACAAAATTCCTTGTTCAAATCTCTTGTTCTGCAAAAACCAATACCGAAATCGATTTTATGTATCAATAAAAAACGATTTTCTTTCTGTCTGCAAATTTTGCACTCCTTAAAAATCGAAATTGATTAATCATCTTAACAATATTTCCTGCAATTTTTTACAATTGTTACGATTTTTTGCACCCCTTTACTCTTTACATATTTTCTACAATTTTTCTTTACGTTTATCACACATGCAAAAATGCTCATTCTATAAAACAACTTCATTCACGTAGAGTTGCAGCTTTGTCTAATACCTCATGGTTATGACATTGCCACGTCAATGTCCCTATGGAAAAAAATATCTTTCAAATATTAGATGAATAATTCTGTTGCCCCTTGTGGTTTTGAAATGGGCGCCAACGCCTCATCTCCTTTTTTATTATTTTTCTGTTTTCTATTTTTTTCATAAAGAGAAGAAAATTATTTTTTATGAAATAATGAAAAAATGTTTTTCAAACCTACAGTTTTAAAAAATAAAAAAATGTTTGTGTTTGAAATAAAAATTTAACATATACTTCATTTCTCAAATTAAATATTTTTGTTTTTTGTCTAAAAAAGTTTGTATCTTTTTTATATGTCGGGACCAAAAGAAATACAGAGTAAGGTTTTTTTTTAATATATAGTTAATTATATATTAATAACATTTTTTGGACCAATGCGAAAAAGATTTCCTTCATGAATTAATAACATTTTTTGGACCAATGCGAAAAAGATTTCCTTCATGAATTAATTTTCCCTATTCTATTATGGCATGTTTGGGAATATGAATTTGGATTTCAAATCCAGATTTGACTCAAATTCCATGTTTGGAAAATTCAAAAATTTTGAATTTGGATTTAAGTCAAATTCATCTCATTCATAACAAAGCTTAATTTGAAATCCATGTATCTCTCCTTGTCATTTGAAATTCAAGATTTCAAATTTTGGAATTGAAATGCATGAATTGAAATGAAATGCTAGTTGCCAAACACTACCTTAAAGTACTTTTTTCATACACTTTTCTTTTTTATTCTTTTTTTCTTTATTTTAACATTGATTATAATAAAAGAAACGGTATAAAATTAATGAACAGAAAATGAGAAATTGGTTTAAGTAAAAAAGAAAATACTTCGTTGATTTCCGTATCATGAAAAAGTACCAATAAAGACATCTTTTGGACAAAAAAATATAAAAATGATTAATTTGACATAAATGAAGTGTACGTTAATTATTGTTATTTATTTGATTTTTATTGAAAAAAAATTGATTGTCCAAATATTATAAAAAATTTATGAAAAAAATAGTAGAAAAATTAAAAACAATGAAGAAAAGATGGAATGTCTGTGCCAATTTACAAAATCATAGGCGATAGTAGAATTAGTCACATAATATTTGAAGGATATTTATGTTAGAACTATAATTTATAATAACGCAAATTTTGAAGTCATTTAAAGTAAAGGTGCACACTTATTACTAAAGGGGATGATTGTGCGATAAACTCTAGACATTCAGCATCGAGGGAGTACAAAATACCCCCGTAGTATATACAGTCGATTTTTAGTGGTTCAGACTAAGAGGATTTATTTTTGTTCCAAAAAAAAGGAGAAAGTCAGAGAGCTTACGTCCGGAACTGATGGAAGGGTTTTGGGGCTATTTCCGGCCAGATTTGATCGCCATAAGTGGTTTCAAGCTAACCCATACCCATGTTTAAGCTCTCTGGATTCAGTGGTAAGCCCTTCCCTTTTAAAATTAATTTTGCTTAAAGTTATTATCTCTTATAATCTGTACCCGTCTGTTTGAGTAAAAGCTTGAGATTTCTGTACAATTCTGAGATTCCGTATATACCCAACAATTTCTTTGTGGTTCTTAGTTTATAATCTTGTTCGAAGTTTATGTGCATATGTTTTGCAATATAAGAATAATTATTCAAGCTTGTAGTGATGTTTCTATGGCTCTCCTTCCATCCTATAAAAAGAGTCCCGTTTCTCAATTTGTTTCAAAACATAGGTGTAGGTAGTTTTTCTAAAAGTTGTACTTGAATAAAATTAACAAAAGTTGCACATTCATCATAGGGGACTGTGTTAATGGGACCTAAAGCTTGTTCTCTTCAACTTATTCTTATTATTTATTACTTATTTTTTTGGAATCAGATCAATCCAGATCAGAAATAGCTTTAAATATAACTACAATTAGATCAAACCAGACTAGATCAAATCATAACTTATTCTAATCAGATCAGATCCAATCAAGTCAGGTGAAAAAAACAAGCTCTCAGGATATATTCATGTGCATATCCAAAGGATGGTAGGGGTCTCCTCTATCCCCTCACTCCGCATCCTTTTTACTCTCTCTGTCATGATTTAGTTGTTTACTCTTAAAAATAGCTCAAATTTGATGAATGATGATCAACTAACAAAAACCCCATTCGAATTAGATTACATGTCATTAGTGGCAAGAATGTAATATGCTATGTAATTTTTTGTTGATAATTCGTTATTATTTCTTGCCAAATATAATAAGTGGACAACTATATCAGGATGTACTAAAAAGGATATATCTACTCACACACAAATATAGTAATATGTATAATATGTGTATATAAACGGGCATATATAATAGTAGGTGTTACAACATTAGTGAAGTGGGAAACCGCTCCTTACGAATGCAGGACATTTGGACCTTTAATCCCCTAAGAGGCATTTCTTTCACTTTTTGTTTGAAAAGTATTCTCATATATATTTATTAACATTTTAGTTAACAATAGCCAGTTAGCTGCAATAGACTCAAGTGGGAAGTCTCTACTTAGCCATCAAAACACAAGGGGTTTGAGCCTCTTCTTGAACACATTTTGTTTCTTTGGAAGCTCATAATAAGGGTTGAATTTCAATGCGGTACATTATGTTGTGAGAATCATGTATTGCCTTTATAGTCTTAGTTTGGCCCTCCCTCGCGACCAAAATATTTGCACACACCTTGTGTATAGTTGTATACTATGTGGATGTGATACTTGATTTTTTCTGCAGGAAGATTATCAAGCAACATGTGGGAGCCATCTTATTACATGTAGCCTTTTTGGGTTCAACATCTTTTCACTGCACACACAATGGTATGCCATGAATTTTACCCGCTTTACTGTAAGTCTGTGGATTCCAAACTGTGAGTCTGGTATGTAAATAACTTTCACACTGCACACACAGTGATATAGCATTGATTTTTAACTTGCCTTATTGTAAGCCTTATGTTTGTGAATTCCAAAATGTAAGCTTGATGATATGTATATCACTGGAGTAGATATATTGTCTTTTCTCATTTACATATCTTATGTTTTTTAAACATATAATAGTGGTACGATACCGTGAAAATAATTAGTTTATATCATTAGATCCATAGCTGTGTTTTTGTAAGTAGTTTCTTGGACGGTGTTCTTAAGGTTTCATCCAAATCTCAAGAACTTCACAATCCATAAGGTTTCATAGTCATGATAGATACCTTCTTTGTATGTTGCTATGCAGAAGCAAATGGAACCCTTGAAGACTGAAACAGACCTTGACCAGATCAGCAACTTGCCAGCACAGATTACTGACAAGATCTTGTCACACCTGTCATTGAGGGATGCTGTCACGACAAGTGTCTTGTCCAGTAAATGGAGATACAAATGGGTTACCCTTCCAAACCTTATATTTGACAATGGTCTTTTGGTTTCATTCCAAGACCATTCCATGATAAAAAGTAAGATAGTCAGCATAGTTGACCACGTCTTGTTGCTTCACGTGGGACCCATAAACAAATTCAAGCTTTCTCACCGCGACCTTCAAAACGTCCCTGATATTGATAAATGGGTTCTCTTCCTATCAAGAGGTCCTATAAAGGAATTCATACTTGAGATTTGGAAAGGCAATCGCTATAAACTCCCGTCTGCTACTTACCTCTTCCACAGATTGGTCCACTTGGAACTGTTCAATTGTCTTTTGAAACCGCCCGTGACATTCAATGGTTTTAAATGCTTGAAAAGTCTTGATCTTCAGCACATTTCCATGGAACAAGAAGCATTCGAGCATCTCATCTCTAGCTGTTCTTTGCTCGAGAGATTGACTTTGATGAATTTTGATGGTTTTACTCATCTCAAGATTCATGCTCCCAATCTCATCTACTTTGATGTTGGGGGCACTTTTGATGAGTTGAGTTTCAAGGGTACCTCCCATCTAGCAATAGTGTCGATTGGCTTATATCTAAATGATGGAAATGAACAAAACCTAGGCTTTGCGAGGAGTGGAAATCTAGTCAACTTTTTTGCTCATTTGCCAAGAATACAAAGGCTTGAAGTGCAGAACTACTTTTTGAAGGTATTCCTAAATCCTATTATTCTATTGGATATTTGGATAAGGCATTGTGATGATGTATTGTGAAGGATTTTGGAGGGCTTAATCTATATCTTGACGAATCTAATGTTTATAAAAACAAACGGATGTTGGCTGAAACATTAAATGGTCACACATGACACGCTATATTACATTTTTTCACTTTTTAATATATAAAATCTCAATTCTATATCAAGATGTAGACTTTTAGCCCTCTAAAACCCTCCATCCAAACTCACCCTTAAGAGGTTCATTCTTTTTTCTTGAATAATTTTGAGATCCTGTGATCTTCAAATGTCATCAATTAAGCGCACCATTGTTGCTATTGGCCTCTCTCCACATTAGCACATGATCTTTGGAGGCTGTTTGGGTGGGATTTGGAGGGGAAGCAGGGAAGATCTGTATAATTTTTCTCTCACCTGCATAAATTTCAACCACACAATTTCAACTATTCTTGAACTCCGTGAATAAGAAAATAGGAAGTTCTTTGTGGGAAGTAGTCATTTTTTAGTATAGGACTAAGAAATAAAAATAAATTAGAAATAAAAAAGACATCATTCATCCCCTAAAAAAATCAGCAACCAAACAAGTGAAACAAGACATTAGCGACGTGTTTCAATATTTCATTATTAACACATTTGTTTCTTTTTGCAGTATTTGGCTGCCGGTGTGGTACCGGAAAGATTATTTACACCTTGTAACGAGCTTAGTTACCTTTATATGCGCTTTAATTTCAACTCTGTGGGTGAGTGTCTAGCTGCTCTATGCCTTCTCAGGAGTTCTCCTAACCTTCAGGAACTTGAAGTTGTGGTGAGTAAATATCAGTTCGGTCTCACTTACACCCCACTTACTTCGGCTTGTTTTTTTTCCGTCTTAACTTAACGGCTTGTTCTTTGCTTATAAGTCAAAAAAATAAGTAGGTCTTACGTACTTATTTTTAAGCCAGTTTTTTCGTTTATCCATTTTGACTTAGATTATTTACAAAATTATCCCTCACCATTTATGAATATTTCCAAATGACTTTTCTATCCTTTAAATCATTTTACTTTCACGGGAAAAAAATTGACTTATTATCGACTTGTAAGTTAAAAACTACATATCAACGATAAGCCAATAAGCACCAACACAAGAGAAACGCCCCTGAAAATAAGACCTCACCTCCTATGTTTTATCCCCTAAATAGAAGTGTTGGCAGTGAAACACCCCACAATTTGGTATTATGTTGGCATTTCAGTGTGTCTTTTTGGACAGAGTTGGGCAGAGGAACAGAAATCAGAAGGCGGGAGTGCGACGGTGGTGGAAGAGAAGTATGAAACTGTTTCCAAGTTTAACAGACTGCGAGAGGTGAAGATGTTTGGCCTCTCTGGATTCGCACAAGAGCTCAGCTTCATAAAGTTTCTTCTGGGGAGTTCACCGCAACTCGAAACCATGACTGTGAAGCCCTTGACGAATGCGGGATCTTGGGATTTGTTGAAACAGCTCCTTCGCTTTAGGCGCACCTCTGTCCATGCCGAAATCATCTTCCTCGATCCCTAGCACCATGCATTATAATAATGGTGTGCTTCAACAACTGAAACAAGACTATTGTATTTTAATATATGGTGTATGGTTTTTATAGTATCATGCTTCCTATGTACCAAAATGGTACATTTCCCCGTTTTTTCACTCCGTGGATAAAATTCGTCTGTGTCCTCTTTTCGGTGTACAAAGAGTATTTCAGCATTTAGCATTAGAGTTTTGAAAAAGTTATTTATCAGCAATGTGTAGCGGTAACATTTTTTAAGTTAACTTAAGCTATTAAAATTTTTATCCCAAAACTAATACTAAAAAAAATTCCTAAACTATTGCATTACAAAAATATATTGAGTACTCCGTATCTTTTAGACCTTAGATAATTAATGCAAACTACATAATTTATGAAGGAAAATGTCTGTAAATCTAAGATCATCATGGTGGAGCTTCATAAAGACAGATTCTCAACTTTTTTTAACTTCTCTTAGTTTTGATCCTTTTTTAATGAGAATAAGTACTACGTAATACGAAAAAAGTATGGAGTAAGATGAAGAGAGCACATCTTTAGTATTGACTTGAAAAAGGTGAAATTATGAGTTAAATGATCATTTTTGGTTGTTTTTAGTTAAATGATCATTTTAAAAAAATGTAAAAATAAATTTCATTTGCATTGGGACTCAATTGGGTTGTTGTTGTTGTAAAAATAAGTTTCATTTGCATTTTGACCATGTGAGCCTCTACTTCGACTAACATTTACAAAAAAAAGTAACAAAGAGAGTTTTGTCCAAGAATATTTTTCACTAGAGTTGGTTATTTTAGACTACAAAAAGTAAAATGCACTTTTGAGATATCCTCATTTCTAAAGAAGTGTTGTTAAATTCACTGGTTTTGGCTAAATACACTCTTTTTATGATGAATAAATAATTTTGCCCTCAAATGTTGACTTGCATCTAACTTTTCTCTTTTTTTAAAGAGTAAAACCGTGAATTTAAATATTCCCTCCGTCTTTTGAGATGTTCTTATTTCGGTTTTTTGTGGTTTTTAAAGAAATTTGAAAAAGGTGAAAGTTTAGTAAAAGGCTAAATAGCACTAGTACCCCTGTGGTTTGCAAAACAGACATTAATACTCCCTCTATTTTCAAAACTTATTTCTAAAATTCTTGTGGTTTCAAAACGTTGCACTTGTGCCTCCTCTGTAAATAAGTGGAGTATATTAAATGGGATGTATAAGGTGTGATAGATAATGTAGATGTAGTTGTAGTATTTTAAATATTAAAATGTCTAATGAGAAGATATATTGGAGACAAATTAAATAAATTAACAAAAAAATCTATGTAGACGATGAAGGAGAAGGTATATGGTACATCCGGATGTATCTAGAGATAGGTACATCCGGGTAGTACTTATTCTAAAGTTAAGTGGTACTCATTTTCGCACAAACATAACATTTCATTCGAAATATCGTGGTACCCATTCTTAAATAAAGCAATACTCATTCTAAAATAACGTAATACTCATTTTCACACATTTGTACAATATTCATTTACGAATAACGTAATACTCATTCTAAAACCTAATAGTACTCATTCTCAAAACAGTCTAGTACTCATTCTTAAATAACATATCATTCATAAAAATCTAAAATCTAGGACCAGATTGGAATTAGAACAGATTGAATTAGAGCGACCAGATCTGGCGGAATCTAGGATCGGAAGATTGAATTAGAGCGACCAAATTTGGAATAGCGGAATCTCGGATCGGAAGATCGATTTCGCCCTAACCTGCTGCCTTCATCGCCTTCATCGCGGAGTCGCAGAGCTGTTACGGCGATAGAGAAGGGCGGAGAGCAAGATGCTGGAGACAGGGGAGATGAACATGGCGATGAAGACGTTAAGGTGGGCGGCTGATTGAATCCTTATTCCGATCAATTTTAGTCTGGCTGTACGAGAAGAACCGTACAGCCGGATGTACAATATAATTTGCGGATGAAGTGATTAGAATAGATTTAGCTAAAATGGAGTGGATATAGCTGCATTCCTTTTAAGGTTTAGCAAAAGCTACTTAATCTCAAAGATTAAATTGATGTGAGTGCATTAGTCTAAAAAAATTATCATAATGTTACATTTTTAAATCCAAACGGGCGCAATGTTTTTGGTCTTGTCCCCACAACTCATCCTCTTGGGTGAAGGAGAAAGAGCCTCGCACGTCCACCGTACACCAGATTGAAAATGGCGATTCCGATGACATCTCTGGTTTCGTCTTTCGCCGCTCTATCTTTCTCGTCTCCTCAGTCTCAGAAGCCCCCCGCGCTGTCGTTTAGCAGCTCGAACCACCTCTCGCTCTCTCTTACGCCTAAGAACCCTAACCTGCTAAGAACAGCCGCCGCCGTGGCAGCTCCGTCGACGGAGGACCTGGAAACCGCCGACCTCCAGAAATTCGTGAAGTCTAGGCTTCCTGGAGGCTTCGCTGCTCAACCTATTTTCGGAACTGGCCGCCGGAAATCCGCCATTGCTCGTGTCGTCCTCCAGGAAGGTTCCGGCAAAGTCATCATAAACTATCGAGACGCCAAGGTACACATCTAATTCACCGCTGCTCAGAATCAAGTAGGCTTATTATTGTGTGGATATGAAAATTTTGTTGAATTAAGAAAGTAGCTGCATTGCTATGTTTTGGTTTTCCTGATTCTGAAAGCATTGAGCTGAATCTATTTGAGAAGTCTGAGAATTGAACTCTGTGTTCCAATTCTTTTATTTTTGCTTCCTTTTGAAGTTCTATTTGTGTTCCTCTAAATCTCCCTCCACCTTTGCTTTAATTTTGCCATGGTTCCCTTGTTCCGAGTAGGGGTAAGGTCTCCTAAACAGTAAACACACCCTCTCGAGACCCTACTTTTTGTAGAGTTTTACCCGGTTTGTTGTTGTTTTCTTTTAGAAATTATGTGATTGTTCTGATTTGCTTATTCATGTTGTTTGGTGACCCTTTATTTTTTATTTTTTTGGTATTGCATCTTTCTCCACATTTTCAAATTTGTTTAGTGTTCGATTTACTTGTTGGACTTTTCTAAATTGATACCTTATAACTCTTTTGTTTCTGTTCTTGCGTCCGGATATCTTTCAGAAACATTCTCTCTCTACCTTCTTTAGGCAGGGATAAGGTAGACGCAAGCTCATCCCCCAGGCTCTACGTCTGAAGTTTTATTGGGTAGGCTGTTTTTGTATAGGTTTTTAATAATCCATCTTTGAAATTTCAACCATGCACATTATTTTCCTCCACGGTTCACAGATTAGCTTCACTTCTGTTTCTTTAAATTCAGCTTCTGACTTGTAACTTCTCAGCAAACAAGACCAGCGTTGGTCTAGATATTGCTTCTGGAACATAGAGGTCAAGTCTCAGGCTTTGTATTTTAAGGTTGCAAACTTGCAGGTGGTGCATCGTTGCACGATCTTGAGTAGTGTGTTAGGGGTATAAAACGCTAATAGTAACTCACAAAGACATCCAAAAAATGCTAGACTTTCTGAATGGAGAAGAGACTTAGTAAAATCACCCATGGTAGTTGGATAGTTTACTAGAAAGTTTGCTTGTTTATGAAATTGATTCGAAGGAGCCTTGCATAAATAAAATTGAAAATTTGGGGTCAGGCGATGTCACCACAAATTAGTTTCACAATGTATGACGATGCATCTTATACTTATGATCATGGACATGCAAAGTTGCGACAAGAAGGGCATCCAACGTAAAACAATGCCCCTATGCTTTTTACATGACTTGGTCTAAAATATTTTTATATATTCCGTGATTAATTAGCACTATAAATTTAATGTCACCAACCTCAAATCCCCAACCAGGTGATTTATGGGTACTAATTTTGATGTTGATTGGGATGACATGCAATTATTGATGTGAACTTTTCTGCCCTAAGTGGAACCATTTTCAAAAACTTGAGTGTTCACCTAAATCAGAAATACCCGATGAGTGGCCTCTTTAAACTTGTTTATGCTATTCCATTATCGTGTAAATCTTGGGGTGACACTTGCAGGAGTATCTTCAAGGGAATCCCTTGTGGATTCAGTATGTCAGAACTCCATTGGCGACTTTTGGGTATGAGACAAGCTACGATGTTTTTGTGAAGGCGCAAGGGGGTGGCCTTTCTGGACAGGCTCAAGCAATCTCTCTTGGCATCGCTCGCGCTCTACTGAAGGTGAGCGAGGACCATAGGAAAGCCTTGAGAGCAGGAGGCTTGCTGACTAGGGACTCCAGAGTGGTGGAGAGGAAGAAAGTCGGGCTCAAGAAAGCCCGAAAAGCTCCCCAGTTTTCCAAACGTTGAGTCCATCATTTTTACTACTATTAAATCCCTTATTGTTGTCTTTATAGGTCACAAAATTATTGCTCCCTCCCCTACCCAAACAGTCTTGTTTTATAAATGTATAAGTGTAAAGCAGTCTTTTTTTTGTTGCTCCGAGACGCATCAATGTAGTACCCGGAAGAAGTTTGGCGTGACTTTCTTGCTACTACGTCTCAAAAATTCCTTATCATTTCTTTTTTTCTTGTCCTACAGTCTTGCTCTTTCCAGTTTCTATTAAAAAATTACTTTTATCCTAACTAATTCTTATCATATCTATCACATCATACCTTTTTGTAATAATTTACTCATCACATCCTACTTTTATCTATCATATCAAAGGTATTTTTGGAAAGTTACCACAAAAATATCCTTTAAATTTCTTAAAAGTCAAAATAGGAACATTTTTATGAGACGTAGGAAGTACATAAGAAATGTTACAAAACAAAGCCTCATTCATGTGAGATTATCAATGTCATAGATTGACTCGGGCTTCATACAGTGTTTCGTTTGAAAAATTGATAGTTTCTCCTCTTGTCCTCCCCTCGCCGGTTGATTTTACTGATCAGCGTAGCCAATAGACAAAAGGAGGAGCGGGCTGGGGTGTAAGGATAGGGAGGACAAGGGATTAAAGGTAAGAACCACCAATTTTTCGAATATAGCAACAAAGGAAGCTTAGATCATCTTATAACATTGGACTCAATGAGACGATATAACATTAGAGGGCCATAGATGGGGGAATGTGTTCATTTTTTAGTCATGCTAGAATTACACCAGTAAATATATATCAAAGTGTATACCAAAAGTATGCATTGATATTTTGATGGGTCCATTGAAAAAATTTGACTAACATTTTCTACGTGGGTAAACTATCACAATGACACAAAATAAAAGTAGAGAGGGCTCACATGTGATATGATACAATTTTTGAGGTTGAAGTATCTTTTTTGTTTTGTTTTGTTTTTTGTT